ATTAGGAAAAATACTGGACATATACTTCTCCTCATGTCACCTAACTTAGAAAAGTTAACAGTTGTCCACAATAACATTCAGCATCTCCCAACCTACACAGCTGGGCTGGCTGGAAGATTTCTGCAGCCGTAGTCCCAAAAGCAACTTATCCAAAGTCTGCTTTATTGTGTCAGCAAACTTAGAAAGGGGGGGGCAGACAGAAAACGAACGAGGCAGTGACTATTTTGCATGTTGAAATATAAGAACAATAACTTCTACGATTTCCTCTTAAGGCTGAAAATTCTCACAGCTTAAGAATGATTTCCTTTTCAAGGCAAAGGAACACAAGAGATGTCACCATCCCTTTTTTTTTTTGATTCAAGTTTTTTTGTTTTTTATTGGGATAGGGGGAAATGTCATTCCACGGCCCTTCTTTTCATAACTTATACAGAATTTGTTCCACACATTAAAAAAAAACACCACGATTGAAGGCGAAATGATGGGTTAAAATATTAATTTTTTAAAAAAAAATGAAAGACCAGCACAGCAAACCAACAATTGACTTATTATTTATTGAAGCAAACGAGATCAGGATAATAAAGCGATGATCATCTAAAGCACTGGTTCTTAACCTTGGGTTACTCAGGAGTTTTGGACTGCAACTCCCAGAAGCCTTCACCACCAACTGTGCTGGCTGGGGTTTCTGGGAGTTGCAGTTCAAAAGCATCCAAGTAACAAAGGTTAAGAACCACTGATCTAAAGTGTATGGACCACTGCCTGCAAAGGCAAAGAAAGCCATCATGTCTTTTGCTCTTACCCCCGGGCGGCGGCGTGGCTCCTTTGCTCCCCTCTTCAGAGAGACCCCCACTGCCCGGCTGCTCGGAGGAGAGGCGGCTGCCATCGCTTCTCCATCCATTCTCCCCGAAGCTCCTCGCTCGCCGATGGCTAGACTTCCGCCAGTTCTTTCTGGGTGGGGAGTTGCCTTTTTGGAGAATGGGTGGGTGGGTTTTGTTTTGTTTTTTGGTCTCATCTGGAGCTGTGAGTTCTAATGGTTAAAAATGCAGCAATTCAATTTTTTCACTGTAATAGACATGTCCCCAGTAAGACTCCAAATAAATAAATGCAGCTGTTAACCCCTATGAATTAATATTCTTGTATTTCCAATCACCATGAGAAAGGGTGACAGAAAAAAATGGATTTGTTTCAACGTGAGGTCGTACCTCCTCACATTGTGATGCTGGAGGTTTGTGGATATCCCTGGACTGCCAGAAGCACAACACAACCAAGAGGTTCCGAGATCAAATCAAGCCACAACTTTTTCAAGAGGCGGAAATATTCCTCCATCCAGCATCTGATTTTGTTCTTTGTGCCTTCTCCCATCTGGATTGTTGTGTTTTTTTAGTAATATGTTGTTATGATTTTAAACTGTACTTAGATTTGATATGTTGTCACCCGCCCAGAGTAGTCAGTACGACTAGATGGGCAGGCTATAAATGTAACAAACAAGCAAACAAATATTGAGGCTGAAATGTTCGTAACTTGGACATAGTATCATGAGAAGGCAGAATTCCCTGGAAAAGGCAACAAAGTTGAGAAATGTTGAAGGCAGCAGGGAAAGAGGAAAACCCAATACAAGATGGGCTGCCTCCCTATAGGAAGCCACCAACTTGATTTGGGAAGAACTGAGAAAAGCTGTGGCAGACAGGAGAAATTGGAGGTTGCTCATTCATAGGCTCGCCATAAATCGGCAGTGACTTGCCAGCATATAACATCCCTTGTAGGCAAGTTGGTTTGGTGCAGTGGGTGATGAATCCTAAAGGAAAACGCTGTGCTTGTAAAGAGGTCTCTTGAACCCCTCACTTTATTTTGCCTTAGAACAAACTTGGAGCTGCTGTTATTCCCCAGGGAAAGGAAAGTTGGCCCTTGTCATTTTGCTTCAAACAGTTTCTGTTTGGGACTACAACACCCAGCATCCCCCAGGTAGCATGGTTAAAGGAAACCTCAGTTTTAAATGGACCCTGCCATATAATACGCAGCTTGATATCAAGGCTTCCTCTTTTTGCTTTTTTCCTTGAGATTACTGCTTGCCTGTAAAGTTGAAATATTTGAAAAAAATCCACTCTCTCCCCTTCTCTCTATTATGAATGGTAGAAAGGGCTAGCAAAGGCTTCTGACAGTAAGTCTTACAAGAGGAAAGCTGGCTAGGCCATGTTTTCTTTACAGTATAGCGGTTCCTATTATCCACGATTTTCAGTATCCACGGGGAGGGCTTGGAACCAGCAGAGATGAGGGTCCTATTGTAACGTTGCTAGGGGAAATGTATTTTCCCGATCTGACTTGTTACAACTGCAAGTAAACTCGGAACAAAGACGAAAACCTGAAGGAGTTTGTTTCTGCTAATCAAAATGCCCCAGTGCTGCCAGCCGTGGCTCCATTACACCATTGCTCTGGAGTCTGTTGTATTTAAAAGGCCCTATTTTGCATGTCAATCCACAGGCCTTTTAAGAAAGGTGTCTGCCACCAGGGCTTACAAGAGGAGTGCCAGCAGGGCCATGTGGCCCAATGGGGAGGGGCGAACCTCAGCTAAGTGTCAGGCTGCATTTAGGATATATTTTTTACATCCCATCCGCTCCATTACACCATTGCTCTGGAGTCTGTTGTATTTAAAAGGCCCTATTTTGCATGTCAATCCACAGGCCTTTTAAGAAAGGTGTCTGCCACCAGGGCTTACAAGAGGAGTGCCAGCAGGGCCATGTGGCCCAATGGGGAGGGGCGAACCTCAGCTAAGTGTCAGGCTGCATTTAGGATATATTTTTTACATCCCATCCGTGAAAATACTTTTTCCCCCTCTTCTCAAAACGATTAGGGGGCCTCACGTGAGCACCTGCCAGTGTAGACAATATGGATCTTGTTCTCTCATTTTTTAAAAAAAAAGTGGCGGAAAGGGAGAGTTCAACTGAAGTCACCAGGGGCTGCAAACTGCGAATTAGAAACTGGTTTAATCTCTGAAAAGAGGCGATTGAGAGTATGATTCCACATAACTACTTTGAAAAAAGTCCAACTGATTTATATGGGCTTTTCTTCGCATTCTAGTGGGATGTTATACCTATTATAGCCCATTGTCTTGTGTCTTCTTAAAGGCTAAAAGAGTTACGGCAGCATTAAAGTTCATGATTAGTGGAGACCCAGGACTCCTGTAACTCTCCAAATGTGGCTAGACTATCATTCCTAAACTACTGACATTCTGGTTGGTGATGAGAATGAGAATCCAACCTCTTGTGTACTCCAAGTGGCCCATCCCTCGATCAGAAAAAAAATCTTGTTCTCTGATCCATGGTATTCACAGATATACTGCCCCACATTGTGGCAGTTCTATTTTGTTCTCACGGCTGAGAATTATGGATAAATCTAAGGCTCATGAACAGCCAGGGATTGATCGATAGTAGGATCTTCCCCTTTAAAGCTGTCAAAATCTACTTCAGCACAGGGTTATCTAACAAAGACTTTGATTATTTCTGAATCTATTAAGGAATCCAGCAGCATCCATTAGATCCAGGTAATGTAACCTCAAGCTTTTGGGCTGGATCTGGCCTGGGGCGGGTGTCCCCCTTTGATGGCCACACCCTTTCCCTCA